GCTGGAGGCCGTTCCCTCTCCTCCTGTCCCTTGTTCCCTGGCAGCAGGGACTCCTCCACTCTTCTGTCAGGGAGATGATCTTCCAGGTCCCTCCCAACCCAACCGATTCCATGGTTCTGTGATCCAGAAGTGACTTCTGAGCAGTTTGGTTGTAGCCGCAGGTGTTGAGAAGCCTCTGCAGTGGGAGTTGCTTTGTCAGCCTCATTTGGCTGCCTGGCAAAAGAATACAAGAAGCAGCGGAACTTGATATTTTTGAAGGTTTTTACAGTTTGAAGCTGTTCCTACAAAGGGCAGAAGCTCTGGAAAGTTTGACAGACTGGTGACTGTGTTAAAGACCTGACCTCCAAAGAGCAAGAGTCAAACCTCCAGGAATGTCTCAGACTGCTTTTGTTTCCCACCATGGATCTAAAGTTACCAGGCTCTGCTCAAACTCTCCGAGCCCTTTGGTTGATCCTGGTCTAAAGGCTTTCCCGTGGAACATGTGCACACTCCAGACCCTGCTCTCAGCCTGGGACACTCTCCCTGACATCCTGCCTGGGGGTGTTTTGTGTCCTTTAGAATCCTTGAAGGATGTGGGGGGGGTTTATCTGGTTGGGTTTGTTCCTTTTTTTCCTACAGGAGGAGGAAGGTGACTGATAAGTGCCCTCAGGAATTCTTGATTTGAGTGGCAGAATTATCTCGTGAGGAACTGCTTAGGAACAGAAACGCTGTGCTGCGTTTTAAGGAGAACAAAAACATGATCTTTTCCATGTGGAACTCGTCTGTGTAAAGACACACGGCACTGGAATAGCTCAATTATTCTTAATTCATACCTCCTGTGGTGTTACTGCAGTTGTATGTAAACATGGCCTCAGCAGAGCACAGACAGCTTGGAATAGAAACCATAATAAAGTTTGGAGCCCTGTTTTGGGGCTGGCACAGGGACAGGGCTCACACCCCACGTCCTTGCAGCTGCTCAGAGCACAGTGACCCCGGGCAGGGGGAAATCCCAGAGAGCAGCTGGGGATGGGCCTGTGGGCATTGGCAAACTATGGATCTACTGGAGCATCAGCTGTGTGTTGTGCTGCTCTCCCTGACCTGGGAACACCCTGACAGGAGGGGGGAGCTGGGGGGGTCGGGCTCTGCTGCCAGGGAAGAAGGGACAGGAGGAGAGGGAACGGCCTCCAGCTGTGCCAGGGGAGGCTCAGGTTGGACAGGAGGAGGAATTTGCTACTGGAAAGGGTGGTGAGGCCTTGGCAGGGGCTGCCCAGGGAGGTTTGGAGTGCCCAGCCCTGGAGGTGTCCCAGGAAGGCCTGGCCGTGGCACTCAGTGCTCTGGGCTGGGGACAAGGTGGGGATGGGGCCCAGGGGGGATCCATGGGCTGGGAGGGCTTTTCCAACCCCAGGGATCCTGTGAGCTTGGTGGGGAGAGGCCCTGTGTGGTGGCTGGTGCTGGTACCACACTGGGAATGGGAAAGCTGGGCCCTTCCTTTCCTGGAGAGTTGGGAAGTGCAGACCCCGTGACTGACCTCAGTGTCCAGGGGTTTGTGGTGTGCAGAAGAGATGTGGATCCCTTATTTAGGGATGAAGGGATTTGTGTTTAATGTTGGATCTGTTTGTCAAATCCCAGGGTGGGAGCAGCTTAAACCCCTCTGTGACAGCAAAGGTGAACTCAGTGCTCCTCCTTGTACTTCCTTAAAGCAGGAGAAAGGAGCTGTTGAATCTTCCAGTCCCTGTGGGAAGGAACCCTTTGGATGGACTGTTCCCAGTTCATCCCTGGCCCAGTTTTGCTGATGGCAGGAGTTCTGGGCTGGCTTCCCAAGGAAACGGGGCGTGCGAGGGACCCATGGGGCAGTTGTGGTTCCCCTTCTTGTCTCCTCTCCTTCCTGCTGGAGCAGTTTCTGAATTCCTGAACTCCTCGGGCCATGTCAGTTGAGTTTGTCAGAGTCCAACACTGCTGAGGTGTCCAAGTTCCTACAGATACCAGTGGCAGTAATTAGGGAGGAATTCCTGCTTTCCTGAAGGGAGGGCAGAGCCCAGAGCTCATCTTACCCACCCTGGATTTCTCTCAGTTCTCTGGGCAGTAGATTCTCCCTCATTTTTGGTTTGTCCCACGTCCTTTGGGGTGCTGGGAGGAGCAGGGAAGGCAGAGGAGTGGAGTTAATGCTGCCCTGGAACTGGTAGGGATTGGGCAGGTTCTCAGACACCCTCTGCCAAGCCAGTGTTGGAGTGCTGTGAGACTCCTGTTCACCTTCATTTTTTCCTGTGTAACACCCCCTGAGCTGTTGGAATCAGTTGTCCACAGCTGCAGAGTTATTCCTGCAGAATCAGGGCTGCTGGTGTCCCCTCAGTCAGGTGGAATGCAGCCTGTGGTTGTGGAAGCTGGGTTTTCTGTGGGCAGTAAAACTCCATCAGAGGGATTTGTGTCTCTCTCCATTTCCTTCCTGTGGTGTCTCTGCCCACAATCCATTTTAGTTTCAGTCTCTCAGCTTTAAATACACTTTTCTGCTCCTTCTCTCCATTTCATTTCATCTGGGTTTGGCTTTTTCTCTCTTTCTTTTTTTTTTTCCCCCCCTCTGGAAGCTCTTTGGAATAGTTTCTGCTTTCCTTGGCATCCAGCACAGGGCTGGGCTCCAGACCTCCCATCCCCTCTCCTCTTTCTGCTGTGTTCAAGGTAAAGGGAATACACTGCCCATTCCTTTGGGATACTGGCAGTCTGGGGAGGAGTGCCTTCCCTGGAGCACTGGAAATGCTCTGCTGCTCTTGCTCTTGTTGAACAGGAAAATATTATATGGGTACTGCTTGAGCTGGGAGAGGGGGGGAGGGCAGAGGGTTCTGCTTTTGGCTTTCCTTCTTTTTTTCTTATTTTTCTTTTTTTTTCTTACTTCTTTTTCTTCCTCCTTTGCCCCCTTCTCCCTCTCCTTTTATCCTCCTCTTTTTTTTTCTCCTTTTTTCTTCCTCTTTTTTTCCTCCTCTTTTCTCCTTCTTCTTTTTTCCTCCTCTTTCTTTCTTCCTCCTCCCTTTTTTCTCCTTCTTTTTTCCTCCTCGATTTCCCTCCCTTTTTCCCACCAGGCTTTCCCTGCAGTCACAAACCCCAGCAGCAGTGGGGCAGTTCTTGCCCTCAGCTGAGTACAATAAAAAACCATAGGTAAAGCTAAAAGTGCTGATCCTTGAGCAGCTCAGAAAAGCTCCTGGAAGAACCCCACAGCTCAGGGAGCTCGTTCTGAACACTCTGGATCCCTGTGCCTGGGATTTGAACCTTTGGAGGGAAGGTTTGCTGTGCCTGGAGCAGCCTCAGCTGCGTTACCCGGCCCTGGGAGGAGGTTTGGAGTCGTGTGTTTGGCCAAGTGAGGAGGGAGAAGAGTCAATCCTGAGCCCATCCTTCTCCCCATCCCAGCTGCTGGAGCCTGGCTGGCAGGAGGGCCAGAGGTTTCTGCAGGGCCACAGGGAGGGGATCCAGGAGAGGTTCCCAAGTTGGGAGCCAGAAGAGAACGTGGGAAGTGTGAAAGGGGGCTGGGGAGGAGAGCAAACAGGAATTCAGACAAAAGGAAGTTGTTGGTGCAAGTGAATGGCCTTTCTGGGTGATATTGATAAATTTGTGCTGCTGTTCGAGCAGCCTCAATTATTCTCCTCCTGATCCTGTTGCCTTTTGCCTTTCTGCTGTTGCCTGGAAAACACGAGTGGAATCTGGGAGGACAAGAGGCTGCCCCTCATTGTGGAGCGGCCCCGGTGCTGGGCATTGTCCCCTGGCTCAGGCAGCTCCTGTCAGCCTTTGTGTGCTGCAAGAAAAATGTTTTTCCTTCTCCCCGTGCAGATTAAATTTGGAGCTGTGGAGGTTGCTTTGTGTGCAGAGCCAGAGCAGCTCCCACCCAGGGGTTGCTCTGCCCTGGCACCTCTGGCTCCCGGGGCTCCCCGAGTTCGGGGGCAGAGCAGGCTGGAAAGGGAGCTTCGTTTGCAGAATGTGCTTTGTTTCAAACCCTGAGCAGGGCAGGGCCTTTGCTGGAGGAATGAAAACCAGATCACTGGAGAGGTTGTGTTTAACAGCTGGAAATGGAGCCAGTTCTCCTCTGGAGCAGGAGCAGGGCTTGGAACATCAGGGAAGTCACGGAGCCCTGAGCAGAGTCACTGGGATCTCACTGAGCTCTGCCCTTTACCCCATCACTGATGATTAAATCACCGAGTAAATTAATTAATTAAATTCTAAAGATTGATTTTGGGGACATTCTTGAAGCAGAACTGAAATGTAAGGAAATATCCTCCTGGATGCACAGGGTGGTGCAAGAGTGAGACCCTGAGCTCTGCCAGGCACAGTTTCTGTGGGCAGCAGTGACACAATCCTGCTTCTTCACTGCCTTTTTCTTTTTTTTTGCTTAGTAATTAATCATACAAAAATATATGGAAAATGGAAGATGCTGCAACTGTTTGAATATCTGTTTGTGTTTTGTTTTTTTTCTTTTCCAGGCATCTATTAACAAGCTAAAAGTGACAGAACCATGGCTCAGTTTCCAACACCTTTTGGGGGTAAGTGGTTCCTACTGTTTGAATTATTCCCGTGTGCAAAAACTCAGCATAAATGTGTCCCTCTGTGACTATTTTCTCTCTGGGGGTGTTTGTGGGGAGTTTGTCTCTCTGAGCTGGTGGTTCCTGTGGTCTGTGCTGGTTTCAGGCACATCCCAGAGCAGGATCCCTGTGTCCTGCATCGATCAGTCTGTCCCTGCAGGGCCCAGCCAGGCCACACAGCCCCTGGCAATAGGGCAGCACCTCCTTCTGCTCCAGTTGTGCCTGAAAACTGCATGTGGTTTTCCCTTGGGTGAGGATTCCTGGACTTTTTAACTGCTGAAAAGCCCAGCAGATGCCTTTGGATGTGATCCCTTCCAATTTCTGTCCTTGCTGTCCCATAACCCAGGTTTAGATGAGAACAAAAGTGACACATTTTTAGCTTTCCCTTTTTAACAGGGAAGTTGTAGCAGCTGGAATTGCAGTGAAAAATCCAGGATGGGCCCTGGCAGTGCAATAGGGGCATTATTTTTGCTATTCACAGGAAACCAAAGAATTACAGAGTAGTTTGGGTTGGGAGGGACCTTAAAGCCACCCAGTGCCACCCCCTGCCATGGGCAGGGACACCTTCCACCAGCCCAGGTTGCTCCAACCTGGCCTTGGACACTTCCAGGGATCCAGGGGCAACCACAGCTTCTCTGGGCAACCTGTGCCAGGGCCTCCCCACCCTCACAGCCAGGAATTCCTTCCTAATATCTCACCTAAATTTCACTTTGGATCCATCACTCCTTGTCCTGTCACTGCAGTTCCTGATCCAGAGTCCTGCTCTGGCTTCCTTGTGGGCCCCCTTGGATACTGGGGACACATTTTTAGTTCAGTTTTGCAGCTGATCTGCAGAAAGATTATGAAGATAAATCTCAGTGTAACTGGTCTGGTTCCACTTCAAGGTTACATCTCTTTGGGGCTTTTCTCTGGGTAGGGATAGATGGGATATTGGGAAAGAATTCCTGGCTGGGAGGGTGATGAGGCCCTGGCCCAGGTTGCCCAGAGAAGCTGTGGCTGCCCCTGGATCCCTGGAAGTGTCCAAGGCCAGGTTGGACGGGGCTTGGAGCAACCTGGGCTGGTGGAAGGTGTCCCTGATTCCAGTTTGTTCTTTTTCCTGTTCTTGACCCGTGTGTGCTCTGGGAGGCAAAGGATCCCCCACCCCAGGCTGTTCTCAGAGGTCCAGAGTGATAATTACACTCTGAAATAAAAGGAGGGTGGCTTTTAGCTGAAGTTTCTTACTGTCATTTCTCCCTCTCTTTTGCACCAGGCAACCTGGATATCTGGGCTATCACTGTGGAGGAGAGAGCCAAGCATGACCAGCAGTTCCACAGTCTGAAACCCACAGCTGGATTTATCACTGGTAAAGGAGTTTTCACTCCCAGTTCCATTCAATGAAATCTTAACTGGTGACCTGAAATATGTACAGAGTTTCCTGGGAGATGTATGGGCATGAGAATGAAAAAAATTGAACAGATATTTCTCATGTCCCATATTTCTTATGCCTTCTGGTGTTTTCTGCTATTTTCTCTTCCCTCTCCTGCTGGGAAGAGGGGATTCAGTGAGTGACTGAGTTCTTAGTCTCTGTCTGGGGTCAGCCCACCCAGCCAACATCCTCAGACATTGAAGTCTGATTAAATAAAGATCAATTTAACTGCAGGCTGGTTTGGGAGCTCTCTGGGTAAAGCAGTGAGATGAGCATGGCCGAGCTCTGCAGAAGATCTAAAATGCAGAACTGATGGGAGCACTGGGGAGCAAAGCTGCAAGGCAAGGAATTGCACTGATCCTGCTGGATTTTCATGGGCACCACTAATTACTTTGGTTTCAGAGGCAGTGGGAGGGCTCCTCTTTGGAACTTTGTTTTGCTGCATTTGGTTTTCTTCAGAGCTGTGTAAATGAGCATCACAGAGTCACAGAGGGGGGGCTTGGGGGGGACCTCAAAGCCCATCCAGTGCCA